CACACACACACACACACACACACACACACTCAGACACACATACATACATATAAAAATATATATACCCGATATAAAGACAGGTATACATGTGTGTGTGTGTGTGTGTGTGTGTGTGTGTGTGTGTGTGTGGAGTCAAAAGTTCGACCTTTACTCGACGTTGAACGGGAAGAAATTATAATCTGACTCTTATAGACAATTTACTTTCAGAAAGATGAGTCTGAAAGCATTAAGATAATTGTTCTGCTGTTCTGCAAGGCAATTTCTAGTGTATAATGTGGTTCCATTTATAGAAAGTGAATTAAATCTTTTATTAAACAAATGTCTTGTTACAAGAAAACAACAAAAAAGAAAGAATAAATAAATAGAAATAAAAATTAAGATGTAATTATAGAATATAAAATGAACATATTTAGTAACTTTCTATAGCTTTATTTTCTTTATATTCCTAGGTATTCATTTTGGGGGAATCTAGTGATAATCAAATGCTTATCATTATGGTTATCATCATTTCTATCATCATGGTGATGATCATTACAATCACAATAATAACGATGATGATGATTATGATAATGATAATAGTAATAATGATAATTATTATTTCTATTACTGATACTTGTATTTTTATCATTATTATTATCATCACTATTAGTATTATTACTGCTACTAACGTTATCATTATCCATCATTATCATTATTATAATTTTCATTAACATTCTTATTATGATTATTATTATCATTATCACCATTAGTACATCATCATCAACTATCATTGTTGTCATTATCATTATCCTCATTACTGGTGTTATCGTGGTAAACCTTCCCGCGTTATGTTCTTACTCAATCTCGCCCTACATAATTTTTCTAACTTCCTGTTGTCACACAAGTCAGCATTCGTTTGCATGTCTGCGTGTGTCCGTTTCTCTGTCCAGAACTTTCTCTCTCTTTAGAAAATGACATCACATTGACGTGGTGTATCACCTTTTATTTTTCTGACTCAACCATCTGGTTTCCAAGTATTTCACAATATTCTAATGCTAAATGCTATCATATACTTTTATTTCTTTTAGCTGATATGATATACTTCTTTGACCTTACTGAGCACACAAGACTCTAAATTACTTGGCCAGTGAAAGGGCATGATGCATGGCATGTGCTATTCTCAAAGATGTTGGGTTTGTAATGAGAGAGAAAGAAAATATGCACCGCGAAATATTTCTTATATCAGTATTATTTAATATGAAAATTTAATGAAGGCAGGTTCTGGAAAATAGGCAGACAAAATATATAAAGTAATGCCTTGCTTCATCTTGTAAGTCATAGAAAGATATTCTTTGCAGCCGAGTTCAAGAAAGACAATTTCACATCCTTAAGAATAGGAATTCTAACATACAAGTCAAAAATAGCAGAAGTTCCCCTACATAAATACGGTGTTGCACATAGCTGTAAAAAGAATAGACCAATTTCAAACTCAACAGATTTTAGCAAGTTATTGTAAAAGATTGTGCATAACTAATTAGTGGATACATTCTACTGTTAAAGCTAGCGACCTTTTCACTTTTATTTAAATGCAGATGAAAGCATAATGCTTGCGTCTGGTAATTCTATAAACCAATCGCCAACTTCACAAAATCGCTAGCTGGGAATCCCGCAACAAGTAAACAATAAATGTAAACAAAAACCATTACGCAATGTATAGAAATAACATTTCCACTGAATATTGCTCAGATTTATATTAATAACCAGCCCATTAGAAGGGAACAAAGCACCAGATTTCTTAGTCTTGCACAAGATGAAAAGCTTCGCTGGAAGGAGCGCATACGCAACTTGCAAACAAGGTTTAATAAACAGTCTTACATTCCATATCACATTAGGACACACGACACCAAGGGCAAGAAAACAAATCTATTACAGCGTAGTTTATCTCCACTCAAACTGCTGCCAGACCACCTGGGGAGCAACACATCAATCAAGCATACAGCCATTGATGAACGCTCAAGCAACAATTCGCATTATATCAGGACTGCGAAAGTATGACCATACAAATGAGTCCTTCAAAAAATGAACTCTTGAAGCCTACTGATTTTTTTTCTCTTTTTTTTTTTTTTTTCTGCATGCGCACCCTTCATCTTCAGGTCGCTAAAATTACGTCATGACAACCTTTTCAATTTCCGTCACAATCCAAAGAACACTTTAAGGAACTGTCATCTCCTCCAGATGCCCCAGATTCCATCCTCAGTCCAAATCCTGAATTCTTTTTTCTTTATCATGGAGTAAATGTCTGGAATAGTCCCCCTG